GCTAGATGGAAATGTCTACCCATATCACTCATGGGAAGGGTTGCCGCTATAAAAATGATGGTCTTACCAAAAATAAATTATTTATTCCAATGATCCCAACTAAACCGCCACAAGATTGGTTCAGATCTCTAGATTCATGTATGTCCAAATTCCTTTGGAAAAATAAACCCCCACGTATAAGCTTAAAACACTACAAAAGACCAAGGATAAAGGAGGACTAGAACTGCCTAACTTTCAGCACTACTTCTTAGCCAACAGGCTTCAGTTTATCTCAGGATGGCTAAAACACACCCTCTTAGATGAACCTTGGCTAGATGTAGAACAAGCACTCTGCAATAATCTAGAGATCTCAGACCTACCATTTATCAGCTCAAACATCCAACGACATGAATGCTTTAAAAGCATCAACATCAGCTCTTCTCTGACAGCATGGTGGGAGTTTCTAAAATTGACGGCGTCTTCATTAATCCCATGCAAACCTACACCTATCTGGAACAACCCTGACATATTACAAAACAATAATATGATAAACTTTTCAGATTGGAGTGATAAAGGAATCAAATATTTAGAACATATACTAGAAGGAACAGAATTTATTTCATTTGACGGACTAGTTACACAATATGGGATCAACAAGAAAAGATTTTTAGAATATCAACAAATTAAATCCATAGTAAAAAGAAATTTAAACCGGGTCAAGTTGAACTACAAACACCACCAAGTGTGGTTCAATTTCTTACTCTTAAACCCCCCAAATTACTATCCAAAATATACAGAATGCTTTCTAAAACAGATGAATCAATATCACTTCCTATTGCAAAATGGGAAGCGGATTTATCAGTTAACTTAGACCTAAACTTCTGGTCTCAGATTTGCTTAAAAACCTTTCATCTAATTAGAAATCCCAGTCTTCAATTAATTCAATACAAAAATTACATAGAGTGCACTATACAGGTCATCGGATGTTCAAGATGGGCTTTTCGTCTACCAACAACTGCTCACACTGCCAAACCAATTCACCGGACAATTATATCCACGCTCTTTGGTTCTGTCCACCAGTTCAGAAGTTTTGGCGCGAGATATGTGAAGACTTATCGAAGTGTCTGAAATGTAACATTCCAGCTTCCCCCTTAGTGTGTTTGTTGGGCAGCTTAGATAATGTCACTTCAGAAAAGAATATGCCCATATGGTTTTCACTGCCCTATGCATAGCCAAGAAAACAGTCCTCATGAACTGGAAAAATAAAAATAATCTTAATTCTAACCAATATAGAAATTATCTATTAGATTACATTAGTCTTGATACAGCCTCTGCCACCACATCAGATCAATTGCTCTGGGCTCCTTTGATCAGCTCCATCACCTAGTGGGGGTGGGGGGTCATAGTTTGGTCCCGCCTTCACTGTTGTGATTGGTGTGGGGGTAGGGACAGGCTTAGGGCGTCGGGGGGTTCCCTGGAGGCATCTTCCTTGGGGGGCTCAACCCGGGGGAGCGGTCATGTCCGGTTAGGGGCTCTGTTGGCTCTCCGGTGACTGTTTCCTCGCGGCTGCGTGCAGCGGGGCTAGGGGAGGGTCTGTGCTGACGGACGTGGGTTACTGACCTGGTAGCCTGGCTGGCCCTGGGTGGGTCCGGGATGGGCGTGAGGTTCTGGGGGCGCTCCGTCTCTGGGCTGGGACCCGAACCGGGCCTCGGGGGCTTGGGTCCTGGTTGGTGTGTTGCCGGGGTTGTGGGCGGGTGGGTGCATGGGGGCCCAGCCCTGGAGCAGGGTGCCGCCGGTGCGTCGAGCCACCTGGGGGGCTCTTCAACTGGTGGGGGAGATTGTCACATCTTGCAGGAGCTTTCCTCTCCTCAGGAGCTCCCTCTGCAGGAGGGGAGATACAGGAGAGGTGGAGGAAGATCTCAGCCTGGGTGTTTATTGTCTTATGTAGTCTGGAAGATGAGTGGATGGTGGGGTGGGTGCAGTTTTCTCTGTGGTGGGGTTGGGTGGACTGTCCCGGGCTCTGTGGGGCCGGGCGGCGCTGCTGTACTGGGCCCGGTCTGGATGGGCCTGGGCCCCCTTTCCCTGGCGGGTCGCGGAGTATGGGGGTGCCTACTGGGGTCAGCGGGGGAGCTGGCCCCAGGGAGGGTCACTTGCCCCTCCCTTCCTTCCCTCCCCATCTCCAGCTGCCTCCCTCTTCCCGCTCCACCACAACCACCCACACATGCAGGGCCTTGGAGTAGGGGTATGTCACCAGGGTGCAGAGGAGGCTACCCTCCCCCCCCCCCCCCTCTCCTCTGTCCCCTTCTGGCTGCCTCTGCCTCAATTTTATCCCACAACTTAGACATTCACATTACTCACACTCTCATTACACATACATATAGGATCTTGGGGGTGGGCACGATACACGGAGTCCAAAGTACCATCAGGGTGTACACCCCACCCCTGGCATCGTTGCCCACCTCTCAATTTTAAATACACGTAGACATTGAGGGCTAGCAGGAGGGACCATGCGCTTACCTGCTGCTCTCTGGCAGGTAGCTCCATGCCCTCCTGGGTTTTAAATGCACCTTAGAACACACATGCATCAACATTACAATGAGCGGGTGGAGGGAGGTTTGGAGTCTTCTCTCACCCCCGTTCTCTGCGACCTGCTGGAGCAGGGGGGCTAGGAGGAGGAGTTGGCCGTCCGACTGCGGTCTGGAGTGTGGAGCCTTCCTGCTGCTGCGGAGTCGGGGCGGTCTGCCTCCCCCCACCGCAGGGAAAAGGGAAACACCACCTGGGTCTGGGTGCAGTTCCCCCCTCCAGGGGCAAGGGCACCTAGACCCGGTTTGTAGAGTACGCTTGGGGAGTGTGATCGTGTGTACAACGTCTCTTTATGTCTGTCTCCACGTTGGTTGAGTGTGGAGTAAGTGCATATGAGAGCATGAGGGTGGGAATGGATGTTTGTATCTGTGTGTGCCTGTATGTCTGTGTCTATATGTCAGGTTGGGTGTCAGGCGCCACCTCTCTGGGGACATCTCAGGCCCTCCAAGGTTTGGAGGCCTATCTCCCCTACCACCACTTCCCCTGCCAGTGGCGGACCCCCTCAGACATCGGTGCGTTGGTGGTTCTTTGTGTCCGGGGATGGGCGTCCAGGTACACACCGGCTCACTCCTTGGCGGCCGCTTATCGGGGCCTGGAGCCTGGGGCTCGCTCGGGCCACTTCGGAGGTGGGGTGCCCCCGGCCTCTCGGCCTGGGGCTCGGTCACTCAGGCGCAGCTGGCTGCCGGCGGAGCTCACGGGCGCGTCACTGCAACTCCCCCTGGCTTCTGCTCCGCGGCTGCTGAGTGAGCCCTCATCTGGGACTCTCCTCAGCTCTTTCCGGGACAGTGGCGCAGCTGCCCCTCTGTTGGTCTTCCTTGGTCTCTTGTGTTCTGGGGGCCTCTGGATGTCTGGAGTTTTGATCTCCTCCACACCTGCTTCACGCCCTGGAGGACGGGGCTGTGGCCCCCCCACACCCTCTAGCAGATTATTACATGAAGGAACCTTTTAAAAAAACAAAAAACAAGCGCGTCCATGCTCACAGGTGTACACACGGGTGATCACACCCACAAACTACACCCTTTTTGGCTCCTACCTCAAAGCACACTGTGTTCTGTTGATCTTATGTGCTGCACAATAATGTTTAACATTTAGTATTTACTGTCATATTCCCATATATCATTGTGATGTTGTTTATTCTATTACTCTTGTTCTCTTCTGCTTGTTTTCTTTTTTCTTTCTCAGCAGGTGATCCAGGTGATTGATATATGCATTTTTTCTCTGCCCGTTCTGTTGGTTTTTGTCTTTTGCCCTTCTCCCCCGTCCCTCTTCTCAGCTGTTTCTCTTTCCCTCTTTCTTTCTCCCCTTCTTTCCCCCAGTCAAGTCTGTCCCGTATTCAGTAAGTGAAAATAAAATAAACAATAAAAGGTGAATCAAATGGACCATTACGGCAAGGCTGGGATGGTCAGTTTGGTAAAGTAAATCCGTTGGGCATCTTTCTTTGCCTTTAGACAACAATTCTGATGGCAAAAGAGCCAAACGGGACAGGCCAAAAAAAAAGAAAAAAGAAAAAAAGAACTTGCTGACAACATTAGTACAGCACTCTATATTAGTCATGTTTTCTCACAGTATCTAGTTTATTAGTTAGCATGCATTTATATATTGTGTATTTATAATGAATAAGTCAGTACAAACTTTAGTAGTAATTATGTCTTAATAGAGCACCTGCATTATGTGCCACAACATACCTCAATGTTGCAAATCATGAATGCTAATGACTCATAAAACAACAAAATAATGAACAAATTGATTAATTAAAATTAAGAAACATATTCATTTATATTTATATATAAATAAACCCAAAGCAATCGTGACTAAAATAAAGTTTAAAAAGAGGACAAAAAACCATCTTGAATCTACAAGAAAAAGTATTGTAGATTCAAGATGGTTTCTTGTAAAAACACAATAAAAATAGAATATTGTATGAATTGATATGTTTTTTTTTATGTAAAATGTTTCTCATTAAGAGTCTGTTTCTGTGTTAGGCCTTTTTGTGTTCCCATTTTATTTTTGTAGTCTTTTGTCTATTATGCTTTGTATTCAGCTTTACTTCCCTTGTCTTATCCCTGATTAAGTTTAGCTGTGCTAGCCTTGTGTTTCCATTTTACAATGATTGCTCTCAGTGTCTGGGATAATGTTTGTTCATTGTTGTGCTGCACTGCTGTCTTTAGTGTTTATTCTGCCAATTTGTTCCCAGATCCTTCCTTGTGTTTTCCCCATTATTTCTAGTGCTCTATACTGGACTGCCATTTATATAGAGCTTACTGACAACAGCCTATGTTACTCATGTTTTCTGCCTGTAACTAGTTTAATAGTTAGTACAAGTTTAATTATATTGTATTTTTTTGTATTTACATAGTTAAGATAGTTAATTTATTTAGTACAAACTTAAGCAGGAGTTACATCATAATAGAAAAGCTGCAATATTTGTCACATCATACCTTGACGGCCAATATTCTTTTCTTTTAAGATTCCTGAAATAACAAAAACAAATTGATAACATGAAATTAAGAAACATGTTCATTTATTACTTGCCAAAATAAAGTAATAAACAAGGTCCCTTTTTCTTGTCAATTCATACACGTTTTTCATTCAATTCAGTGCAATTCAGATTTATGTATTGACGTTGAATACATTTAAACAACACGAATTACATACACCAATATTTAAAATCCTTATGTTGCATATTGATTTAATAAACACACCCTGAAACTAACCCATGCTTTAAATAAATAAAAACACGTATTATATTGAATCTCAAAACTCAGTGTCAGGTTTGTAGTGATGGGAAGTTCAGCTTTTCAGAGAGCTGGCTCTTGTGACACGGCTCCCAAACGGGTCTTAATTTATTATTATCTATAGCCTCATATTTTAGCCCTACTTGGCAAAGATGGATGCTTTGTGTGTTTATAAAACCTTTTGCATTCATTGTTTTTATGAGAAGCCTTATAATTGCCTAATTTTGTTGTTCTGTTGCAAAAGCAGGTATTCTTACTTTTGTTTAATATTTTCATGAAAATTTTCATTTTAATTTAACACAAAAACAAAACACTGCAAAAAGGTTTTTTCACATAACAGAAACAGAACCAAACTCAGTAGCCGAACAGTATTTCATCAGTGTAGGTTGACATTGCAGTGTCTCCTCTTAGTTAGTTAGTCATCTGCTTCTTCTTTAAAGTGCAGCCAGTTGCTGCTTTATTTATGTGTGTCAATCATATTTATGTGTTTTCACACTCTTCTCCTCGACGCTGTCTACCATCTCACTCACTGACTGAGGGGTAGGGACGTGCGGAACGATCCAGAAAATTCGATACTTTTACGTTTGAATTTTTACGTTTTACACTCTGTAATATAATATCTTAAAAATGAAAGTTTAAGCAAAAAAGTCAGTAATTTCCAGTTAAAATGTTAATGAAAAGCTCTACGGCTGTGAATCCTTCATCAGAAGAATAGACGTTAGGAAACCCAGTAAACTACGCATTAACAACCTTAAGCAGCAATTACATAATATTAAAGCAGCTGCAGTATGTGTCACATCATACCTTGTACGGCACGAGTACGTGTGTTTGAGATTCCTGAAACAACAAAAACACAAATTGATAACATGAAATTAAGAAACATGTTTATTTCGATTTATATTTAATACTTAACTAGCCGAATGGCCCAAAATAATACACAAGGTCCCTTTTTCTTGTTCCCACACAGCAAGGAGGTCTGGCCCGGATCTGGTATCAAGCCGGCACTGCTGACCGACCTCTGGCATGATAGGACGTATGTCATCCAGACATGGGCCAGGCCTGGCAGAGATGGCACTGTCTATGTGATGGCATGGCATCGATTGTGGTTTGGGTTCTGTGGCCCAGGCTCATAGAAAACAGGTCTTCCCTGGATCCAGCATCAAGCTGGCACTTCTGACTGACCGGTGTCATGGTAGGGTGTTTGTCAACCAATGTGGGCGACCTCTGGCAATGATGGCACTATTTATGTTCCTATTTTCCTATTTTAGTTAGAAGACCCAAATGCCATGTTGCAGCCAAATGCCATGTTGTAGCCAATGTTTCAAGTGCAGGTTTGACAGGTTTGTGAGGAAGCAATCAGTTTAGAGAAAGTGTGTGATTGGCTGAATGTGGCCTGTTGTATGGAGCATTTTGAGTAATCTGGGAAACTAGAAAAGTGCTATATAAGAGTCAGTCCATTCACTTATGAACAGAGTTTTGTCATGTTACTTTTGCACTGTTTTGCATGTTCCAGGACATTATTACATGGCTTGATTAAGGTACACATTAGGCCGACATCTGGGGCCAGACCTGAAACTGTTCTGTGCAGTGTGTCTACAACTGGCCCATGGCTGCACACAACTTACACATGGCCCACATACCGCAAAGAATGACGGCCCTTTGGTGGCCCAGACCAGGTTTACCAGAGGTTGTCCACACATGGGCCAGCACAGGACCACCAGTGTGTCTGCAACTGGCCTTGTGCTGGCCTATGTCTGGGCCACATCTGGCAAACCAGATCTGGGCCACCAAAGGGCCGTCATCCTTTGCGGTATGTGGGCCATGTGTAAGCACATTTTGTGGGCCAGATCCGGGCTATACCAATTTTGCTATGTGGGTTGATTCAAACATGTTTTTTTTTAGTAAAAATGTGTTAATTCAATTCATTGCAATGCAATTTAATGTATATATTGTTAAATTTCAACAACAGTTGCTTCACAGCACTGTATATTGTTAGATTATTCACACAGGTTTTGTCTTACTTTTATTATCCTTTTTTTTTTAATCATTAGAACAACTGAATTAGAAGGTAGTTCAGTTTCTTGAACATTGAACTTATAGAGACTAGAGTTTGAGAAATCTGTTAAAAGCTAGTTTTAAAAATGACTGAATTAACTGAACTTCTCAGAGAAGTCATAATTTTCAAGAACTAAACTTATTTTTCTGTTCAGGAATGTGAGTTAATTATGTTACCTTGGCATTAAAAAAATGTTTTGGTAGTTACAATTCTGTTAATTTAGAGCAGCCGTTACATAAACCTTGCATTGGGTGATGGTCTAATAAATTTGTTTAGCACTGTACCTGATAAACTGTATCCTCCATAGCCTCCAATGGATTGTTTGTTCATCACATCTGTGATTAGAAACAAACAGTAACATTTAGGAATCTGTTATTTTCTTTAAAAAATGTTTTAGGGTACGGTACAGTTGCCAATCTATGTCTGTGTAGGTTCGCAGTCATCCAGATCATGATAATCTAAGGAGACTGGAAGGAAAAGTTACTGGACTTCTTTAAGTTTCTTGAAGACATTTCATCTGAGTAACGTCTTCAGTTCTAAAATCAAATGGTGGATAGTCCCAGATAGTTAAACCCTATCGAGGTCGCTTAAGAGGACTATGTATCATGTGACTCATCACACAAGTGTGAAAAAGGCATGGGTCATTATCACTAGAGGTTTGGGGTGAAACCATTGTGGCATCTAACCTCACCTGACGCAAGATGTGAGTGATGGTTGAGTTGCCTGGAAATGGGTCTCCATACTGGATTGTCGTGAATAACCCCTCCTGTTCAAAGATAGTTGTTGACAGTGAACATAAATGGCTGCTTTCATTCCTCTTTCAGATTATCTATTGTCTTCTCCTTCCAAAATGTGAACATTGGTATCCTCGACAGAGTGACCTTTGACCTATAGATCCAGATGTACAGCCAAGTCTTTTCCTGTCAAGGTGGTTCTTCTGTGTTGTGCATTTTTTAGAGTGGGTGTTGAGATTCGCCAATGTTGAGGTCAGTGTTTGTGTTCTACCCATTATTCCTAGTGCTCTAGACTGGATAACCATTTATATAGAGCTTACTTACAGCAGTCTATAGCTGTGTCGCAAAACATCGGCTGCATCCTTCGGAGGCCGCATTTGAAGGCCGATTACGTCACAGCCAGGCAACGAAGGCTGTCCCAATTCGTCGACTCCTTCAAATGCGGCCGACAAATGCGTCCTTCATTTCCCCGAATTTGAAGGATGGGTCGGGTGTGTCCTTTGTGGCCCACCATATCCCAGAATTCATAGCACGGCCCAGCCAAATTTCAGCTGCCAACAATGGCGGCCGCTACTGAGTTTTAAAATTAGTCTTATTAATCTTTCTGGGTCACAAAATAAACTTTTAACATATTTTCAGGCGAGAAAGTAGCTGTGTAAACATCAAATATCTGCTCGGTTTATCAAGACATCACATATTTGCAAAAGTGTGCCGACGTTTTCAGAGACGTCTGTTACCCACCCGCTCGATAGCAAGCCGGGGGGGTTCAATGGTCACTCCAGCCGGCGAGAGCAGCGGACTCCCGACTTCATCGTTTTCAGACCCCCCCTCTTTCGCTACTCAGGTTAAACATGATATATAAGTCACTCTGATGACTTAAAAATGAAATTTTTTACCCTTTTTCTGTGTTTTATTTGTTCCGGAGTAAATCGGTTTGGCTGAGATCAAAGTTATTAGATTAACTAAAACTTTCTTAATAATTAACTTTATTAATTCCTCCGGAATTTTCACAGAGCTGAATAAACGTCAAACAGAAAACTGATTAAACAGAAGTGTGAGACAGGCGAGAATTTACGCCAGTGTCCTGTTATATTTTAGATAGCAAGGAGCAGACGGACGAGTTTATTAAACTCCACCGAAACAGCGGTAATGCAAATCTGAAGGCTAGACCGTCCCATTTCACAGCCTCGCACTTCCGGCCTTCTCGGTCTTCGAAGGACCCGGCCCACGTAGACCGCGAAGGCCGGGTCCCCCGAAGGATGCAGCTGACATTTTGGGACACAGCTTGTAAGTGTCACAGAAATGGCTTATGTATAAAGAAGTTTAATAGATGGTTCCAGCAGTTAAAATGTTCTTGCTTGTACGTTTCTGTGGTCAATATTGTAGTTTTGTTACACCGCTATTATCGCGAGGTTTGGGCGTGATAGTATAGGCTGTGAGCCCACGTTTAATAATCACGCTAAGGAGTCCAGCGAGCTATCTGCAAAGGCCGGGTTAGTCTACCAGCTGTACAAGGTATTTGTCATTTGCCATAACTGTATTGTAATATTGTGAAAATTTGTAATGTATGGTGTTCTAATTATTTTATGTTTTAATTTAGAATGCACAAGACTGTAAAGGTATTCTTTTAGGACCTCCAAAGTGGCAGGTGGCCACGGGGTAATTTTTGTTGTTAAAGCACAAGTGTTACTTTTGATAGACTGAAGCGCTTAAAGCCTTTGTGTTTTATGTTTGTAGTTTTCACGGCGTTCAATAAATGCAGCGAAGCGCCCGTCTTGAAGAAGCTGTGCCTGTGTTGTCATTTCGGAGTTACACAGCTTATGTTAGTCATGTGTTGTGGGGCGTGGTCTGCGGTGCTGGACGCACCTGCACAGCATCCATAATCACACCTGCTGTGTTAAAACACAGTGAATTGGGGTTTGGGGCTGAGTTGTAAGCTGCGTTGAATGTGGTGTGATGTGCAATATAGATGGCTCTGAACGACAATCTCTGGACCCGCTGTATCACACTGTTAGGGTGCCTGGGTCGTCGACCCAGTGTTTTGTGTTTTTGGTTCTTTGATTTTGTTTATTTCATTATATTATGGGTTATAGGTTTATTCTTAGTTCAGGTTTTCTGTGTGGGTTTTGTTAGAGTTTTAGTGTTCTGGTTTTCTGTCTGTTATCCATAGTTGCTGTCTCCGCGGGTCAAGTCTGCATCTCTGTGTTATGTTTCCTGTTTTACTTTGAAAGTACTTGTCTCATGTTAATGTCTCTGGTTTTGCTGCCTTTGTCTCGTTAGGCCTGATTTGCCCCAGCTGTGTTTCCCTCCTGTTTCCCATTCCCTGATTGCTACCTCTGTGTATTTAAGCCCTGTGTTTCTCTTTGTCTGTGTCGTGATCTACCCTCATCTTGCTGTGTGTTCTGTTTGCGTAAACCTATTTTGTATTCTCAGTTTTGTTATCCTTTTAAGTTCAGCATTAAAGCTGTGTTTTGTAGTTTACGTTTGTCTCCGGAGTCTGCACTTTGGGTCCTTTCCTGCCTGCACACAGCCATTTCATAACACACACCATATCATGTTTTCTAACAGTACCTAGTTTATTAGTTAGTATAGGTTTACTTATATAGTGTATTTATAGTTATTAAGTTAGTACAACCTCAAGCAGTAATTACATCATATTAAAGCAGCTGCAGTATGTGTGGCCCGGATGCACTGTCTACATTGGCTGTCTCTCACCCTTTTTCAACCCTCTTTCAGTAAATATTCTCAGTTGTGGTTATTATGTGTGAGTTTTGATGTTTGAAGTTTAGAACTTTTAGTTTCTTTTCTTAATTTTTGTAATCATAGTGATGCCTCTGTTCCCGGTCTGCACTGGTTAGTATCTATCAATAGTGGTCCAAGGAAGGAACAGTGGTGAACCAGCGATGGGGCCATGGGCGGCCTAGGATCACTGAGAAATGTGGGGAACAAAGACTGGCATGTGTGGTTCGATTTAACAGATGAGCTACCGTGGCTCAAAGTTCATCCTAGCTCTGATAGAAAGGTATTACAATACTCAGTGGATGGCAGTTTGATGCGCATTGGGTTTTTCCTTAACTTGACAATGACGTTAGTCTACTCACCCAGGCGACTACTAGTTAATCAGTTAATCCAACCCTGCCAACTGCATGTCCTTGGACTGTGGGAGGAACCTGGAGAGGACTAGGGCTGCCACAAACGATTATTTTGATAATCGACTAGTCACCAATTATTTTTTTGATTAGTCGACTAATCAGATCATACATCCATTGGACATAAAACGTACAGCTTATTGCACCAGCATGCATCTGCTCTTATATAACTATCATTAGCTTACAGCTTTAAGCGTTTAAGGTATGTGCTAAATAAAAATAAAGACAAGATGATAGTCAGGGCATGGCAGTTTGATGCATATGTTTTTTTTCCCCTTAACTTGACAATGACATTAGTCTGAGGGCTAAAAGTAGAGATTATGAGGCATTTCATTTATTTCAGTCTTTTTGTGTTTGTGATACTCACCAGATGAAACGCGACTACTAGGAGCCAAATATTGTCTTGAAAATTTGTGATCTACACGGGGCTGCCATCTCTGTGGTGTTTCACCTTCCTTTGGTTTATGAAGCACATCTGTGTTCTCTCCTGGAGGCTTTGTGACCACCATAGATGTGAGAGGAGTCACAAAACTGTACTTCAGTGACAGCTCCAAAGCCTCCTTCTTTACTTTCTCTTTCTCCGGTCCCGATAACTGAAGCCTGTGCCACAAAATATTAAATAAATATGAACATTAAGAAAGAATTAAATGTGCACTTGATAACTTCTGCATGTCCTTGGCCCATCTTGAGTGTTTTTAAAGTACTGCTGTATAGGTGGAATTTTTAGAAAATGGAAAGATTAGATTAGATTTTGTGATTCTATCCATCCATCCATCCATTCGCTTCCGCTTATCCTTTTCAGGGTCGCGGGGGGCGCTGGAGCCTATCCCAGCTGTCATAGGGCGAGAGGCAGGGTACACCCTGGACAGGTCGCCAGTCTGTCGCAGGGCTAACACATAGGGACAGACAACCATTCGCACTCACATTCACTTGCACATTCACACCTAGTGGCAATTTGGATTATCCAATTAACCTATCCCCACAAGCTGCATGTCTTTGGGAGGAAGCCGGAGTACCCGGAGAGAACCCACGCAAACACGGGGAGAACATGCAAACTCCACACAGAAAGACCCCGGCCTGATGGTGGAATTGAACTCAGGACCTTCTTGCTGTGCGGCAACAGTGCTAACCATTTTGTGATTCTAATCATAAAAATTGATAAAACAATAATTTGTGTGTAATATTATCACACAAATGGTGACAACAGTGAGTTCATGTGCCACACTTCTTTTTAAAGCTGGTCCTCATTTCCAGATCAACGGAAAAATTTACTGATACATTCAATAGAATGTAAAATATAGGTTTTTAGGTCATCGGCTACCTGCTAATATGAAACAAATTTTCAAGACAGGTTAGCCTCAAACAGAGCTATGCAATTTGAAATGTGTTTTGTTTCTGTAATGAATCATTTCAGTCATGACTTGTTTACTGAACTGTGTTTATGGTAGTTTTCATGATAGAATCTTTTACCATTAGCTACTTTCAGCCACTCCCTTATTCACAAGCTGGTCCACATTTTATGATCGGGCAGCTTTTTATCATCATCATCACCATCATCTTTATTTATAAAGTACTTTAAAAACAACCACAGGTGACAAAAAGTGCTGACATTAGAACTAAATAATACAATTAGATGAGGTATAAATAAAACCCAAATAAAAGAAGGAAAAAAGTAAAATAATTAATTAGTTAGTTAATAAATGGTTTAATTCAAAGAGAAACTAAGTCTCACTACAGTCAAAAGCCAGCTTTTTATGCAGCTTTTTATGCCAAATACCCCAAGGGATTTGTGACTCCTCTCAGAATCAAACCTGGGGTCTTTGCTCCTTAGAAACGTGTATAAAGCTGGTCAAAATAAGGAAATTACTGTAAATATGTTACCTCAGGGAAATTATTAAATAACTTTGGCCTTTTCTAAAAGCCCAACTTTATTGTACATTTGACCATTAAATAAACTGTTAGGAACAGTCAAATGAGGAAAGATGGCATATATCATACTCACTCTTTGTCTAGTAGCTGCTTAACTGTGAGGTACGCCCAAACCCTCTGGATACGGTCATCAGACACTGTTCCAGTGGATTCCACGGTTTTATTTGATTTAGAGAATATTATTCTTCTATTACTCTGTAACAATTCAAATGCAATGTAATGTCAGTATAGATACAGGGAAAACAGTTTAAGAAAATGACAACTGATGAGTCCTGCAAATCTATTTTTACCGAAATGGCCACAACTTGAGGGGTGAAGGTTTCAATATTGTTATCTGTGATCTCACCGGCCACCACAATCTCAGAACCATTATAATACTGGCTGAAGTTAGTCTGGGTTAGATTGGTCCCACCAACATAGATCATTGTCACGTCTGTTAATAGAGGTGTGGCCACCTCTTCATAGAAACCCTGTTGATATACAATGTGGACATTATACAAACTATTCTTGTTTTTTCTTTCAATCCTCTGCGATTTTTAAATCACATCATAAGAGTATTTACTGTATAAGGAAAATTACCTTCAGCTGTAAATCAGCATCAGAGTCTTCATATATCCGCCGTGCCACACCGTTATTTTGCAGCGACATTTTCTCAAGGAACTTAAAATCAACATCAAAACCAAAACCAAGACAGTACAGTGGGAATTTGCCTGCAATAGCTTGTCTTACATTTGACTGAATATTCTCCAGGTTTGTCACCCCTGAAAAGATGCAAGATATACCCAGATAGAGTCAGAAATAACAGTCTCAATAATGCTAAAAAAAAACTTGATAAAAAAGCTTAAAACATATAACTAAATTAAATACAGTGTTTAATCTAATCCCCTATTTCTTGAAGTATTCTTGCACATTTATGTAAATGTGTGCTTTATTATAACCTGAGGTTGGGTCTCCATCTGTAAGAAGTATCAGAATAGATGCTGAACCTTCTCTGCTATGATCATTCAGCATACGTGCTCCTTGCAACACTGCTTCATTTATATTTGTGGCTGAAATTCAACAACAAACAAACAAAGTTTCAGGCCAGACATTTTTCTGTCAAGTGTTCATATTCCATAATATATATGTTTACTGCAACTCCTCACATCCTCTAGCTTGTATATTGCTTGCAAAGTTTTTGGCGCTTTCCAGGTTTTTGCTGTTGGCCTGAACGAGTTCTCGCTTCCAGTGCAAAATGTTGCCATCAAAAGTGATCAGACCAAAGTGATCATCTTCTGCCAGATCATTCAAAATGTGGATTAATGCAGTCCTAGTCTGGGCAAAAACATGTTACATTTTTAAAGTGATTTAAACATATTGTATGTTTTAGAATTATAGAGTGAAAAACCACCACAAAAGTGTTGATAAAAAGTTCTTTCCCTTTTCCTGATTTCATATTTTTTCCATATTTGTCACAGTTGCATGTTAAAGATCATTAATTTAATTTTAACATTAGACATAGATGACCCAAGTAAATGCAAATGTAGTTTTTAAATGATCATGATTTAAATTTTAAAAAATTACCTGTACCTGTTTCCATGTGTAAAAGTAATTGCTAACAAATATCAACAAACAACACATCAAGCCCTAAACTAATGAATCTTGAGAACACCTGAGAGACAAAGTTACTGAGATATATCAGTCTGTAAAAGATTATCTGTTTGTGCGTTGAAGCTCAAGCATACTAAAATTATGCCGCACGACAGTGGTCCAAAACACACAAGGAAGTCCACCTCTGAATTACTGAAAACAGAAATATATGAGTAAAACAAATAAACAATTCATGTCAGGACTTAAATCCCTTTAGATGCTTTGGCATGGCCTTAAACTGACCGTTGTAAACCCTCAAGTGTGGCTGAAAGAATTCTGCAAAGAAGAATGGTCCACAGCAATGTTAAAGACTCAGTGCAAGTTATCTCAAAGACTTGATCGTCTTTATCAAATCGAATTTAATTACTGGAGTCCAAGATAACAAAACAAACTGGAAAAACGTGAACTAAGCAGGCAGGCCGAACACATGGCAAGAAAGGAGGGAGAATGTGACGCTGAACAGAGGGAAACACAGACACTAAATAGAAGAGAGAAAAAGGACAAAGAGGAAACACCTGAGAAACACAGCTGGCAACTAATGAAGCAGACAAGACGGGAGAGAAGCAAAACAGAACATGACACACAACAACAGGAGACTATCAAAGTAAAACAGGAAGTACAGGGAAAACACACACAGGCAGATATCCAAAACCAGAAACACTAAGTAAACTCAGGAGCATAAGCATACTAAACTAAACTAAGAAATAAACGATTCAGAGAAGATTGAAAAACCTCAACCTCAAAACAGTAAAAACAAACCACTGGGTCAACGACACAGGTAACCTAACAGGCGATACTTTTGGAAAATGTTTTTTCCAAAATAAATAAATTCATCATCATTTAAAAACAGCATTTTGTATTTACTTGGGTTGTCAGTATCTAATACTAAAATCACATAAATCTAAAGCACGTTGGTGTGATAAAGATGCAAAAATCAGGGAGGAGGGCAAATATAGGCCCTTCAAAGAATTTACCTGGAGTATTTTTCTGCCACTCATTGAGCCACTCTGATCAATAACAAAGACGACATTTTTTGGCACTCGAGGAAGATCAGATGGAGCAAAGTGATGAACAAAGTATCTGTCAGATTTCTAAGGAGCAGTGAGAAGAAGGTTCGTTGGTCAAAAGATAATTTAAGGAGCAGAAAAATATAATATTAATTCAGCATTTCTTTTTCTCTTTGTGTGTACATTGATAATTGACCAGGTTTTACCTTGATGTGTCCTAGTCCATTGTCCCTGTTGACATCATAAATAATAACTAGATCTCCATTCATACCCTGATCACTACAGCTGTCACACATCTTCTGTTGGTCAACTGTTGGATAGAAATACACCCACGCCTGGAAACAGAATGAATTTAATTCTTTAGACTCATGAGAGACAGAGAGGTCAGTGATTTTAATTTCTGTTTACTTGATAAAAAAAAAAAACTGTGTCCTTTCCTTCCAAACCTTTGATTGCATTCATCTGAAAGGTGAGAATGTACAAGCTCAATTTCAAAATATTCTGCACAATGTGTAAGATCTTAATATAAACAAAACTTTCAGACAACTTACACTCCATATTAAAGAATAAAGGTCAGCAGCTTAAAATTCAGTTTTCTAACAAGTCTAATTATACTAAAAAATATTTAGGTCTGACTGGTCATAAAAAGAGAAGCGGGGAATTTCAGCAGTAAAGATGGTCTCACCACTTTCTCAAAGACTGTCTAGGAAACTAGACAGTTATAATATGATATATTAAAAGATTCAGAATATAGAGAGATATGTTTTTACTCAAGGACCAAATGTTTGAATCAATATTTTATCATTGTCCATTCAGTTGGCACCACATCTAAAATAGACGAGACTTTGTAGTAGCAATCCCTGCATGAGCTCAGGAACACTTGAGAAAACCATTGTCAGCTAATATGGTTTGTTGTTGTATACACAAATAAAAAAAAAATCAACAAGATTGTGAAACACTTATTTCTTATTTAATTTCTTATTTGAATTTCTTATTTCGTATTGAATGTGGACTGACGTGATAAGAAATGCAACTGCCATGTACACATGACATGGTTAACTTGTGTATTTGTACATTTCTGTGTAGCTTCCACCATTTAATCCTTGCCTCTTCCTTCCCTCGCTTCCTCTTCCTGATTTTCAAAGGCATCCTACAACCTATCATCCTATCCTGATAGTCAGTGTTGGGACTAACGCGTTATTAAGTAACGCGTTACAGTAACTACGTTATTATTGTGGTAACGAGCACGGTAACTAGTTATTATGCCAAAATCAGGAACGCGTTACTCGTTACTGGGATTTAGATAGGGTCGTTACTCGTTACTTCGTGTGGTGGCTATCGCGGAGCTTCCAAAGATTCAGTAACATTAGCAAGTGGTGGAGGCAGCAGGTGGATGAAGGAAAAGGGACGCAGAAGGAAAAGAGACCCGAGGCGGCCGCCGGTCCAAGTAACTTCAGGTAAGAAGTTATGACCTGCAGTCTCTCTGGGTCAGATATGAACCAAGTTTAGGTGGAGTTTATTTTCGTTATTCTGACTTTTTCCGTACTGCGTGCTAGCTAGCATGACGGAGTTTCTATGCAGCTGGGTGGGTGCTATGAAGTTAATGATGTTGAACTTTATTTTGTTCATAAGTTATTAGAGTTGCCAACCGTCCCGTCTGGTATTCAGAGAAAATATTACGCGTTTCTTATTATTGAGGTGAAAAGGAACAGTTTGTCCCGTAATTCAGCTACAATGAAAAAGGCACAAAGCTGGAGTTACTCTGTGTCTTTGCTGCACAGCTGCCTCTTCTCCTCTCATTCTCCCACCTCCCTCTCCTGTTTCTACTTCAATCATGAAAACTGATCAATGATCAGCTGATCGGCTCTCTTGTTTGTTTATCGCTCACTTTGCACCGAAAGAGGAAACCAGCGGATGTCGCGGTAAACAACAGCAGCACGTTTAAGCTTGATCAGCTGTTGTTAGAATTTATTTAATATTAATTTCTAGTATCAGCTGATGTTTGCTGGAGCCACAGTTCAAAAAAGCTGCTGGTCATGATGTCGGTTTGGTTATCTGGTGAGAGGGAAACATGAAGATGAAACCAGGAGATGTCCTTACTGGATCATCAGAGCTGTGATGGAGAAACAGGTTTACCTTTTAGGTGACATGAATGAGTTGAAGGGAAGTTATGAACTGTTTCTGAGAGACAAATAACCCCAGGATCCTTTTTTAGGTAGCTGACAGCTGGTAACTGTGCAGGTGCGGATCTAGCAAAGTGTTGCCAGGGGGGCATGTAGGGCATTAACAGGGAGAGGTGGGCACAAGGAAATACTTTTCTTTCTTATTATCATTTAAAATGTCTAGCTTTTAAAAAATAATTATCTGAATCTTACAACAAACGATTGATAGATTGATGCATATATACCATCAAAACAGTGTACATCACTGTCACAACAGTGTTTTCATTCAAAGGCTTTAAGATTTTTCCTATAATGGTGGGCCAGTCTCTAGTCAAAATACCCGGGCCAATTTTCTGTCCCAGTCCAGCCCTGTATGCAGCTCATCTGCAGTCTGGTGTTGCCTACATCTTCCTATTCAGAAGGCAGAATTTCAGAGTTCTGAGTACAATCGAAAGCACCACGACTGCAGTTTTTGTGTTGGATGTAAAAGGCGCACATGACTCTGTGACGTAGGCTAGAATCATGGCAACAGTCAACGACGGTCCAGGTGTGGGATTTCTCTCGTGGAAATATGCACATTATCTTTTCCTTTCTATTGGTAGGTGGCACAGTGCACTGTGGCAAGTAAGCAAGCTAGAAGACTGGCAACGTTATGGAAGAAACACATTAACAAGAGAATTCTGAGTAAAACCAAAGTTACTTTCCCTAGTAACTAGTTACTTTGAAAGTAACGAGTAACTTGAAGTAACTGAGTTACTTTTGAGAGAAGTAACTAGTAATGTAACTAAGTTACTATTTTAAAGTAACTTACCCAACACTGCCGATAGTATCTATTTTATTGTCTGTTGTGACAGGACTTAGGTTCACTTAATGCTTTACAAAACTGAGATTTCCAATATACGGTACCTCTTTATCTGTGTGTGTTTTAGTGATGGCATTAGCGAGGGCTTTGGTGCTCAGGCCTCCTTTCACATCGATGAAACTGAAGCCAGCTTCCTCTTGAATGTGCACGTCCACCTGGTATTAAGTACAGTAAATATAAGATCTAGTCATGGCTTACCTCAGCATTGTTCTCCTAAACAATCACCGAACAGATAGCAATAAGACAGTCACCTTGAAGTCACTGACAGGCTGCATGGGTCGAGCATGAATTTGCAGCTCGTACTTGCCACGTGTTCGTTTCATTAATTCCTCATATGTGAGTTCAAAAGTGACCTTTTTGTGAGCAGCCACAGTTACAGAGGTCTTAAATTCCTCCAGAGTCCTTCCTACAGAACTATAGCAGAAACAATAATCATTTCCTTAAATAGAATGTCACAGCAGGTTATTGCTAAAATGAGAACATTAAAAAAACAGAACAAAAAACCCCCAAAGTGGGAAGAGGGGACATCTTCCCACACCCTTGTTTCAAACACCCTGCCTGTGATGGGGGTATCCAGGAGATTTGTGGTGTGCTTTGGCTTTGTCCCAGTTGGTCCTGTTGGACTTTCACCCTTTGGCCCATGGATCCCCCCCAAAAAACTTGTTTTGCGTGACTGAGAATTGTTTTTTTTATGTCAAGTTATGACTGAACTCAAATACCTGACAAGTCCAGCACTTTCACCACGGGACACAGCTTCAGAGTACTGTTGCTGAGCTTGCTCCTTAGCTTTCACAACACCATCATAAACTTGGCCATCGATAAACCTGGAGGACCAAGAGAAGCCCTGGTGTAAATACACACTATTGAGTATCCTGTAATTTGTTTTTCAGTATAGAATTCTTTATTTGCAAATGTCTCTGGATGGTTACACATTATTTTAACTTCACACACATTCGAAATTTACTGATGAAGGCATTCTTGGGAATCCGAACATGGAATTCAATTTCCTTTGACTCGTTCATACGATTGGCCACACGGCTTGTGATGACAGTGGTGGCATAACGACTGGTCACTGTGGAGTTTATGTGAAAGCTGTAGATGTCCCAGTCATCCTGAGCAAACACAGGAGGCACATTTTTAAAAAAGTGGCTTAGGTGATCTTATTGGTTGACCAAAGGTCAGATGTAAAAACAGATGAAAAACAATGTGTTGGTGGATGACATCAGTGAAATCTAATTGGTTTAACTGCAGTAACACCCCATTCTTTTTATTTTTCCTCTAGTTTTAACTATTACATTCTTTCCCTAAAGAGTTGATTTCCCAGACCGACTGGGAAACAGAATTTTCCAAAGTCAGAATAATATTACAATATTTAAGTTAAAAAAAGAATAGACAATAAATATTTACTTAATGGGACTTGGCATTTTTAACCTTAATTTAGAACTTACCAGTGCCGTTATCAATAGCAAGCTTTAACTATTAAAGTTTGCTCAAATTTCCTTTTGACTTCGACCCAGAGCAAGAATAAAGTAAATATGCAAACAGAGATTGATCAAAATTCCTTCAATTCACAAGACATTATGCGATCTTACTGTATATTAGTTAGCTAAAGACTTTAACCTTTTATTTTTGCCTCCTCAACATCCGTAATGCAAACATGCACACACACACATTTTTTTAGATTTTGGATTCTTGAAGTGGTTCTGTGGCCCTTTTTAAGTATTATTATCTTACCTTGTTTGGCAGTGTGGAGGCCAAAGACAGCAGCAGTCCAAAGAGAGTGATTTGCACCACACTTCTCTCCATTATGCCTCCTACCAGAGTGCAATCAAGGCAGCTGAAACTGCCTTTTAAACTCAAACAAGGACAGCACTGCTGTGTAAATATTTTTAATATTTAAAGAGCAAACTCTACTTTCTGTCCTCTTCTGCCAGCAATAACAAACACCCCCACACACAAACCACTCCTCCAACAAAGTGATTTTCCTGCAGTTTTGTGAGCTTTAATGTTGACAGATCGGTGCACTTTACCAGGACTTTGTTACCACAACAATCTTTTCATTTGTGGTAAGCCACAGTGTTCTGATAAAGATACATGAAGACAATTTGACTTTGTAATTATTGGTGAAACTGAAAGAATGCATTAAATTACATTTTCGATAAGACAAATCAGTGTTGTGCAACATAAAAATCAGTCAGTGGTCTCTGAAGGGCAGATTCAGCAGACATAAGCAAGCAGGTCATTGTGAGAGGAGAGACAAGGGTATAGTCAACAGTGCTGTCACTCCAAAAGAGACACCAAAATAGTTAATATATCTTTGTGTTTAGGAGTAATAATAGAAATCGACGATTTTTCATGTAAAACAAAGGGGGGACTAGGAAAAAAAAGTTTGGGAACCACTGCGTTAGATTACTAATTACTGAAAAAAGTAATGGCTTTCCCATCACTGGATATGGGGTTGTGACGTTCGGTGAGCCCCTGCCATTTTCATTCCTAAATAAATAGATTATTTTAACTCCTTACAAATAATCACAGTGCACCTCATCTGAACCTTTTCCTAGGTTCATACCTAGTTGAGGATTGATACTTAGTAACATCTCAATAACATCTCATTTACATTAAATTGTAAAGATAAAACCCCAGATAAGGTAGATCAAATTAGTGCTCTGCGGATGGATGTTCTAGAATACTTTTTTGTCTAGTTTCAGACATGTCAGCTAAGTTGGACAGGTGCTGACAGTAGACTATTGATCTTGGCATGTAACTCTTAGTGACAGAACTTTATAACAGCGGTCCCCAACCTTTTTTGCGCCACGGACCGGTTTATGCCCGACAATATTTTCACGGACCGGCCTTTAAGGTGTCGCGGATAAATACAACAAAATAAAACTAGTACCGGTACCGAAAAAACTAAGATTTATTCTTAACACACGTGAAAAGACCCAGGAAAACCGAGTTAACGCTAAAAACGATAACAAAATAATGCTGAAAACCCTGAAAACCATACATTTCACACCTGAGCCTCAACTCTCGCGGCCCGGTACCAAACGACTGACGGACCGGTACCGGTCCGAGGCCCGGGGGTTGGGGACCGCTGCTTTCTAAGGTCACACATCTGTACTTAATGCTAAAAGCATGAGTCTTGGTCATTATATTGCAAAATTACCTTCCTGCTGTGGTAATTAGTGATGGTAAATTTGATTCTTTTTACTGAATCGAGTTTGAATGAGTCACTCACCAAAATTAATCGGGTTTTTTGAGTCCTTTCAGTCACTGAGTCAGTTGCCCAGAGAGCGCAAAAATGTACATTTTCACTCAAACTTAATTTGTTTCTCTTTTCATGTATATCATACTGCTAAGATGAGTGATTGAAAAAGAAAAACAACAATTTTTATACAGCAAAAAAGAGCAAAAGATTTTAATTTTATTTTATTAGTATTTTCCTCAAATGTGTCAAATATATATTTTCTCATGTAAATGTCCACTGAGCTGTGAGCCAGGGGGCGGTAATGCGCTTTAACATTGGTTGCCAACCAAGAAGAAGAAGAAGCTGTGAGCCAGGAGGGAGGGGGTGAGTGAGTTGTCGTGTCCAAATTCATGGGCTGCATTCTCCTGAGGCCGCATTTGTAGACCGATTACGTCACAGCGACGCGCCGAAGGCTGTCCAAATTCGTAGACCCCTCCGAATGCAGCCGACAAATGCGTGCTCCTTTTTCTGAATTTGAAGGATGGGTCGGGTGTGTCCTTCGTGGCCCACCATATCCCAGAATTCATAGCGCGGCCCAGCCAAGCTCCAGTTTCCGGCTAATGGCGGCCGCTACTAAGTTTTAAAATTACTCTTATTAATCTTTCTGGGTCACAAAATAAACTTTTAACATATTTTCAGGCGAGAAAGTAGCTGTGTAAACATCAAATATCTGCTCGGTTTATCAAGATATCGCATCTTTGCTAAAGTGCTTCGACGTTTTCGGAGACGTCTGCTACCCACCAGCTCGATAGCTAGCCGGGAGCTCGAGGGTTACTGATGCGGCCGAGAATGGCACAACTCCCGGCACATCATTTTCAGATCACCGCGGACTTTCGCTGCTCGGGTTAAACGTTGTCAGCCGGTGATCAGCTGTGATCAGCTGATCACGGGGCCGGGGTTAAAAGAGAGACGCCAGACATCATTCTCTTCGTGTCAGGAGCTCCGAAACTCTGCCGACGTCAGTCTCCGCCTGATTCAGCAACCGTGAGTGATTATCCCTTCAATCCTTTTTCTCTTCCCGGCTCCGCTCGCTCTCTGTCGGTAACGACCGTTCCGAAGCCACGCTTCGTGCACTGATCGTTACTAGAATAACTGCGTGCCTGCTCCAAACCCACCGCTAGCCTTCGCCGCGCTTGGGTCTAGCCAACACGCCACACGAGCACGCCGAATTACTGTGTGTAACCCGCCCGGCCGTGACAAACGTAATATATAAGTCACTTAGACAACCTAAAAATGTTATTGTTGGGCTTTTTTCAGTGTTTTGTTTGTTCGTGAGTAAATCGGTTTGGCTGAGATTAAAGTTATTAGATTAGATAAAATAAAACTTTATTAATCCCCCGGGTGGGTTCCTCCTTGGTTTTTACACAGCTGACTAAACGTCAAACAGAAAACTGATTAAACAGAAGTGTGAGATGGCCGAGAGTTTACTCCAGTGTCCTGTTATATTTTAGACAGCAAGGAGCAGACGGCTGAGTTTATTAAACTCCACCGAGACAGCGGTGACGCTAATCAGAAGGCTAGACCGTCCAATTTCACGGCCGTTTACTTCCGGCCTACCCGATCTTCTGAGGACCCGGCCCACGTAGACCGCGAAGGCCGGGTCCTCGGGAGAATGTAGCCCATGAATTTGGACACGACCAGTGAGTGATTCGTTTATGCTACGTTTCAGCACAGGAAGGGAGGGGGTGAGCGAGTCCTGAGTGATTCGCTTGCTCTATGATTCAGCACAGGAGGGAGGGGGTGAGTAGCTCAAATGTGCTGTTAGCATGTTAGCAGAGCGATGCTACTGTGAACCAAGGAGCTATTGTCTTGATGTGAGCTTCTACTCGGGGTTTTTTCTTCCAGTTCAGAGCAGAAATTATTTTGTTAAGATACTGGATGTTGTGTTTTGCTCCACAATTTTAATTTTAAGCTAGATATATTGCTGCTAACAGCAACAGGGATGAGTCAGTGAGTCAGTTGGGCTTGTGAATCATGATTCATGAGTCAGTAAAGTGATTCTCGAGTATTGAACGATTCGTTCATGATTCGCGCATCACTAGTTAATATGTTGATTAATGGTTTTCTTTCGTTTTTGATGTACTGCAGAATATTTTTTATAAAATCCCAGGCCAGGAAAATCACCTTCATGTTTTTCTGTGTTTTATCTTCAGCTACTTTGACACAAAGGCATCTGCTGTGATGCTTACACCTTTGATAAAGTCTTGCGAGTGTCAGCTTCCTTTTTATAGATACAAAAACATGTAAATGTACTGATCTGAATTATAATATTTCTGACTGTCTGAGGCAAAATTTCCCAGATTCAAATCGAATTGAATCGAATCGAATCGTGGATCGAATCGATTCTGAACCTTGTGAATCGGAATCGAAACGATTCCAGAAATCAGTGACGATACCCAGCCCTAGTCAAAATATGTGTTGTCCACCTAAGTGGACATGTAAACAACTCTTTGAAAAGTACATGTTTTAAAAAAAAGTTCAAAAATCTTTTTTTCATGTCTAAAGATGAATAAAAATACTCTGGATTGAGGTTGTCATAATTCATGCACGAAAGGGTTAAGATTTAAAAATCTAGTTGGTATAGATATTTCGAGTATCCTTCAGTAAAAGTAATAAATCACACAGTAATATTACATTCATGTAGTTGTAAAAAGCATGACAATATATTAAGTAATCCAAAGTATTCAGAATATGTAAGAATCCCTCACACCCCCACACATGCAGGGCTTTGGGGTACAGATGTGACACTGAGGTGCAGGGGAGGCATTCCTCCTCTGAACCCCCTTCTGGCCACCTGTGTCTGAATTTTATCCCACAACCTAGACATCCACATTATTCATACTCTCATAACACATACATATAGGACCTTGGGGGTGGGCACTCCATACGGCATTTAGTAGTGATGTGCGATACCACTGATTTCCTTTCTGATCTCATACCAAGTAATATTCAGGGTAGTATCGACGATACTGATCCGATACCGATACTATGTACAAAAACATTTTATTTATTGTATCATCAAATTATAGCATCATAATGATTACAGGCAGGGGCGGATCTAGAAGGGTGGCATGGGGTGGCAAGTGCCACCCTAAAATGATCCCTTGCCACCCCAAGTGCCAACCCAGTTTTTCATATGACAGTGTTGTTTATTAAAATAAGATAGCATTAACAGTTTGAGCATAGTTACAGTCAACAGTGAATATAAATGCTAAAACTGAATATATTGGATAGTGTCCCCCCCCCCTCCACCATTAACAAATGGTTCAGCCCATAGCAGGACCGGCTTTTTTCTTGTTTTCAGTAGCAAGCAATGCTTATGATTGTGCCAGAGCACATTTTGAACAACACCATGGGAATTTCAGATTTTACACAGGTGGTTGGATGTTACACTCTGTAAATGAGTGTTATCAACCCTCTGTAGTCCACGGACGCGCTGCACCTCCAAATCACATGACTGATTTAAGTTAGCAAAAAGCTGCAGCCACGCTGAGTCTCTATTTCAGCCCACATTGAAAGTTCGGACTTCAACGCTTATAAATTTTAATTACAGGCCAGTAAATCCAGAGTTATGATAATATATATAAGCCATGCTTTTTTTC